AAGTTTGAGAGGATGAATGAGTGATATAAAGTGAGCTTTCCTAGTCTGTTTAAGTGTCTGCCTATTCGTTTTAGTACGTTTAGTTGTCTAGATGTTTTTTTACCAGTGTTTGACACCTAGCAATTTCACTTCTGGTTCGCAGTTAATCAAATTGTTCTGTCCTAAACTAAATGTGATATTTTCTTGTTGTGTTTTTTTGCCTATAGCCATTGCCTGGAATTTGTCTGGATTTGCCTGCATGTGGTTGTCTGCGAACTAGTGTATTAGTGCGTCGCTGTCTGTCTGTAGTGAAGATTTGACTATGTCTAGTGAGGAGTGTGCTTTGCTGAGTGTGTTGTCGTCGGCATAGTTGCTATGTTCTATGAAATGGAATATGTCGTTGATAAAAGTTTTGAAAAGAATAGGGCCTAAAATTGATCCATGGGGTACCCCCTTGTATAAATTTTGAAATATGCTAGTGGTTTTGCCAAGTTTGACGCATTGTTTTCTATTACTTAAATAGTCGAAAGTAAATTTGTTGCCGACTGATCTAAACCATAATTTTGGAGTTTGAGAAGAAGAAGGTTGTGGGGCAAACAGTCAAAGGCCTTTGAGAGATCCATCAGTATGCAGGCTATATACTGATTTTGGTCTAGTGCCATCTTCCAGTCTTCGATGACTCTCAGTAATGCCGTTTGACACCCATATCCTGCTCTAAATGCAGAGAGATAAGGGTGAAAAACGTCATCAAAGAAGTCACTGAGTTGGGCATGTATGGATCTCTCAAAAATCTTGGAAAGTGCCGGGAGAATGCTGACGGGTCTGTAGTTGCCTTTGTCAAGTGTACTGTTTTTCTTGTGTATTGGTCTGACTTGTGCTGATTTTAGGTTGTCTGGAAAGGTGGAGGTGGATAGGGCGGTATTGACAAGTGTAGTGACTGGTTTAGTGATGGCGGGTTGTGCTAAACGTAATAGTTTAGGCGATATGTTATCGTAGCCTGTTGCTTCCTTAGGGTTTATGTTAAATTGTTTATGTATGAATTGTTCGTCTACTGGTTTAAATTTGAATTGACTCATTTGAGTGTTGTGTTTCTGGTTTTCTGTGATTTTTTGTAAACTAGGGTGGGTATTGTTTATGTCGATGCTGTTTGTACCTATTTCTTTTGCTACGTTAACAAAAAAGTTGTCAAAAATTTCTGCTACTTCTGTTTGCTCATTAACTATTTTCTCTTCATCTAGGACGATGTCAATTTGTTTTTGATTTCCTTTGTTGGTTATAAAAGGTTTAATTGTGTCCCAAAAGTTTTGCGTGTTTTGCCCCCCTGTACATTTGTCTATGAAATAGTGTCTTATTGATTGTTTTCTTAATTTAGTGACCTTATTTCTCTGTTTTCTATAATTTTCCCAGTTGTGGCCTGAACGGTTCGATGTGAATTTGTTGTGTAGCATTTTCTTGTGATATATTTCCTGTCGTAGTTTCTTGTTCATGAAGGGTGCTTGATTTATTCGTGGTTTTCTCTTTTTCATTGGTGCGTGCTTGTCTATTATGCGTGTTAGTGTGTTGCTGAATTGGTTGTAAGCCGTGTTTATGTTTTCGTGTTTGGCTATGTCGTCAAGTTTTGCATTGTATAGGTCGTTATGAAAATTTTCGATATTAAAATGTTTAAAACTTCTGTACGACATCCATTCCTGTTTTCTCACAGTGATCTTACTCCGTAGTTGAACTGCAATAATATTATGTACATCGCTGACTCCTGTATCAAAGTTACAAATTTTACCTGTTAGATTTGGTTTGTTTGTCAAAATTACATCGATAAGGCTAGGTTCTGTGTTTTTAGGATGACAGGTTGGGGCTTTCACAAGATTTGATAAGTCAAAAATATCACATACATTTTGTAATGGGTTTCCTTTATCAGATAACAAATCATAGTTGATGTCACCTATAACCATCAGATTGTCATATTTCGTGGTACAGCGGTCAAAAGTCTTACAAAAGTCTTCTGTGAATGTGTTTTCTTTCATGCTAGGAGGTCTATAGACTCCTTGAATTAACCATTTCAAATTATTTAATGATAGTTCAACTGAAATTGATTCCATGTCCTGAAAATCTATGCATTTTACCCGGTGTCCTGGCAAGTCCGAACGTAGATATGCTGCAATTCCGCCGCCATGAGAATTTCTATCGGCCCTCCACAGGTGGTAGTTATTTACACTAAATTGTGCATCAGGAAAGCTATCGTCTATTTTGGTTTCCGATAAGAATAGGAGATCAACTGTATAGTTTGCTAGTAGTTCATGTACCTGATCAAATTTGTGTCGCAGACTATTTATGTTGAGATTTGCACACAAGAAGTTCGATGGATGTTTTTTCCTGGCATCGTGAAGTTCTTGAAACACGTAGGGAGTAGGGAGATCACTCTCGTCGACAGGCGCGTTTGAGTGGGACCTGCGATGGGCAAAAAGTTCGGCCTTGATTGTGATATAAAGTTCATCACGTGTTAGCTGGTGACAGTGGTATCGAAACTCGCCACTATACAATTAAGAACCACATGCATCATTTCGGAATTTCGACTTGATTATACATTCTTTAATATCACTGTTACTTGGCTTGGCTCTGTCGACACAAACGATATATCTTGTTCATTATCTGCAGAAACATCAGATTCATAAATAAATTCATCCTCGCTATCAGAAGAAAGATCACCATACGTTTTGGACGCAGTGTACAGTTTTGAATAGTACAGCTTGTCAACAGTCTCTATTTCGTTTATAAAAGGTTGATCTTGGTTCAAACCTATTTCGACTGTTATACATTCTGGCATTAGTCGCCACTGGCAGTTGACTCATATTGAAAGTTGTAACTCATGGTTGGCACGAAGTCAAACCAAAGGCCCTTGTTGACAATAGTATTCGCAATATGCAATTTCAAACTTTAGCCACATACGAATGTGAAGATAGTATCATATAGTATCATATCATATCACGGTCAAACACACCGGCATTACCGGCGATAAGTCCCTGTGATCACTGTAGCTAACGTTGGATCTAGGAATTAACGTTAAGACAGAAAAAAAACCTTGTACGATAACCCCTCCTATGAAGCAACATCTTGCGATGTTTTGCACAACAACTGACATATTGATATTAAGCTGTGAACAAATAATAAATCCTTATAACACTAGCGAAACAGAATGAAGTTTGGTGCGGCGTCTATCACAACAAGGTCATCGGCCGGAAGATAGTCTGGAGTCGCCTCCCATTCGTGTTCCGATTATATTACGGCGGTAAATTTAAACCAAGTAATTAAATGGACGATGTCCGACTCATGTCGACTTATAACAACATAATACATCGCACAATCATATTTAATACTTCTGATTAATAACAGAAACATAAACGTTTAGTTAAAAATCATGAAGATCACATTCCAACCATGTGCAGAATTCATAAAAAAAATATGCGCATTTGTCATCATTTTCGCAGTCGCGGTCACATATGTGAAGAGTACAGTTAGAAATGAAAATTTATATTTTCTTCTGCTAAAAGTAAAATTGTAACTATTTCCTAAAAATGAAGAAACGTAAGACTCTGTATTTATATAATTGTGTTCTTCAAAATGTTGACAATATCGTCAATGTTGGTGTAATGCTGAACAATTAATTTAATTCAATAGAGCGTACCTTACGTGCATGTACAAAGTTACGGAGCGGATTCATGCGCATCCTTTGATGTGAAGCCCATTCAAGTGCTTTAAATTCACTTACTTTAAGTAGAATTAGCAAATGTAAAGTGTATGCTGTAGCCATATATGGTTGTGAATTATGGTGTTTATCAAGAACAGAAATAATAATGCTTGAAAGAGCACAATATTTCATCTTGAAAGCAAATCAAGGTTTTGAGACTACAACCCTTACAGATATATGCACACGTGTACTTGGATGGACTAGTATAGAAACCTATATAGACATTAAGAAATTGTTGTGCTTAGATACATGTAGGTTATGTAGAATAGATAAGACGAATTTGTCGTCTCGTGTATTTTTTTATAGAATCTTAATAAAGTTCAAATAGACAAGGGTTCGCAGTTAATATATTAAGAATACTGGAAAAGTATAATTTGTTTGAAGTGTTTAATGATTTTATAACTAACTGTGCTTTTCCATCTAAATGTATGCAGCGTGTTAAAGTAAACAATACCGTATACTCAGTAAAGGAATTAGCGTGGCGAGACAGAAGGGCCAATGATGGCGATTATTTTAGATTTTCTGTTATCCACAGTCATTTAGTACGACATGTATTATGGAGACTGGCATTTAAATTTCCAGCCAAAACAGAAGCTATGCAATATGTCATGAAATCAATTATAACTATCAATGAGTGTGACGGTGAATCATTATGTCATAAATGTGGCTTTATGTACATCCACATAGTTCTGCAATGTGGCTATACAGGAGAATTAGGAGATAATTTATAGTGAGGTATTGTACAGTTAAAAGACATAATGTTTAGTGTGTATTAACATTCCATGACTGATTATGATCTGTTTCATATCCTCTTTGGATGAAATGCAGAGCATGAGTTGAATTCATCGGAGTTACATGACTTTCACATACAATATGTAACTTGTATATTCATAATGTGCAAACTTTACTACAAATGGTATTTTAACCTAAACTTCATAATGTGTCAATTGTAACATTCTTCCCTTTTCTGTATTTTGTATGATGGTCATCTCTCTTCAGTAACTTAAGATAAGTTAAGGAGCATAGAGACGCAAAGGGGAGCTAGCTCCAGCGTAACTCGTACTTTGTAATACAATTTATCTTTTGAATTAAAGTTTGTATATTGTCATATAACATGTACGTTACTTTGTCAATTTTCAATGAATGCATTTTTATATTGTTATTTTTGTGAATCTTCGATTCAGAAGAAATAAAGAGAATCATAATAGATTTTGAGTTCTTGCCAAATCCGGATACACCGTTTTCCCGGTATTACAGTCGTATTATTAGTGTACCGGGTCACATTACCAAGGCGGAGCAGACATGTTTAGAGGACCCGTACACCTGGTCACAGATTACCTGGCGTACGGGTTCAACTGTGGGACTGACAGGTGAGTACGGCGACGTGTGCTTTATAAGTTTTATAATCAACATAATATCAAAATTAAATTATCTATTTTAACGTTTAAATATGGTATATTTATGCATCATTGTCGCAGGCTATGTTCCAGATAAACAAGCTGTATTGGTAATGATAGATATATGGAAAGCGAAACAAAAATGTAAGGAGGTGTGATTCTTGGAAAAACTTTCATACGCAGTATAATACAGTTCGACATGTTCCACACATGTAACCATGGGCGGATCCAGAATTTCCTAAAAGCGGGGGGGCCGAGAAATTGTTTTCTCAACAGTCACCGGTGTGCTGCCGAAGGCAGCATCCCGAGCGCGTAGCGCGAGTAGGGGGAAGGTACAGGAGGGGTCTTCCCCCTCCCGTAAGGGGGGTTTGAGGTTTGTTCCAGATAAACAAGCTGTATTGGTAATGATAGATATATGGAAAACGAAACAAAAATGTAAGGAGGTGTGATTCTTGGAAAAACTTTCATGCGCAGTATAATACAGTTCGACATGTTCCACACATGTAACCAGGGGCGGATCCAGAATTTCCTAAAAGCGGGGGGGCCGAGAAATTGTTTTCTCAACAGTCACCGGTGTGCTGCCGAAGGCAGCATCCCGAGCGCGTAGCGCGAGTAGGGGGAAGGTACAGGAGGGGTCTTCCCCCTCCCGTAAGGGGGGTTTGAGGTTTGTTCCAGATAAACAAGCTGTATTGGTAATGATAGATATATGGAAAACGAAACAAAAATGTAAGGAGGTGTGATTCTTGGAAAAACTTTCATGCGCAGTATAATACAGTTCGACATGTTCCACACATGTAACCAGGGGNGTTAAACAGTTCCAACAATGTAGATAATACCAAAATATACATAATAATGTCAGCCGAAAAAAACACTTTATCGTTCTTGTATAATGATATGATCTCCCGGGCGGCTAGGAAGGTTACAATAAAAAGTATTAATTTTCAGATCATCTTTAACGAGCGGTCAATGATATAATTATGCAACTTTTGCTAGTATATTTCCGCCGAGCGTTGCAAGTTGCAACTTGGGGTTTTGCGGAGGTGGTAAAATAAAAAAACACACTTTAGGGTCAAGATACAAAGTAGACGAGCGTAGCGATGCCAACAAATATTGTTTTAATAAAGAAAATATAGTAAAAATATCAGATAACGGAAACCCACAATACTTGCTAGGATGCCGTATGATGTGTGGGGCATAGCCCCAGATTTTTTATACAAGCTCCGTGCATTATTTGATGCATTTTAAAATGTTAATATGTCCCCATTCCCGGCCGACCAGACCATTTCGGGCCGGCCCGGAAAAGGTCAGTCCGCCGCCAAAAGGTGGGGCCGGGGCCAGGTGTGCCCCCCCCCCTAAATCCGCGCCTGGTAACCGACAAACATATCTCAAAGTATTCTAAAGGCAGGTAACAATACGGTACAAACCTTCTATTAGCACGAAAACAGGTATAAATCACAACCGCCAACATCAGTCATTATGTGATTGACAAAACGATAAGAAACACTGCATATTTAGTTAATAAATTGATTGTTTAACATATAGATTGGTAAGCATTTCGAAGAGGAGATCGGACACTTGATTGTGATACAAATTATTTTGATTCTTTCGTCAGAGGATTGTTCAAGTGTTTGAAATATTCTCATTTTTTCACCCACTCAAGTATGTCGATGATCAGTTAAATTATTCTTCAGCCAAACTTAATATGCATACATTATCTAACATACAAAACGATTTAAGTAGTTACACACTAAACACTTCCCGGTGGAATGACCAAAATGAATACTGCCAGACCTTTTGTTGTATCTGAGGAACAGGGTCGTCTTTGTTGGGACTCAGTTTCGGAGGCTCCCCATAAGTAGGACGTCCCATGTTGGACTTTATATCTGTTGATACTGTGTACAACAATACATATATATCGTTTAACAATGCATTTGATTAATCTTTTGTTAAACTCTAAACTGCAAAGTGCATGAATTCCAGATTGTCGGTGCTCCCCCGTATTGTTACTGCAATGAATAAGGAGTCGGATAAACTATTTAAGCATCACCATTTATATATACTACTCACATTTTCCAACGGATCATTTTTATTTTTGGGCATATGTGAAAAGAAATATTTTATTTGGTTTATACTGAGATTATTTTTGAAAAATGTATCGTTCTTTTAATTCATCAGCATGCAAAATTTCCAAAAAATGTTATTACAGTCGGAAAATGAGAAAACGGCTACCCTTAAAGTTGGTAACAACGAGGTATTCACTAAAAAACTTAAATTGAACAAAAATCATCCTTAATAAACAGAAACTGTTTTAGTATCGAGTGTGACGCACATAAGCATCAATTACAGCTTCACCACATCTGCGGTACCCCGAATGAGATGGCTTATCCGGTATTGTGGGATAGCGTTCCACCCAGCTACCAAAGCTGTTCCTAGCTCCTGGAGCGTTCTTGGCTGATAATTTCTGATAAAGAGAGCTGTCTGCAGCATGTCTCACACATGCTCAATGGGATTTAGATCCGGCAAGCGGGCTGGCTAATCCATTCGCTGAATAGTCTCTTGCTGTAGATACTGCTCATTCACCCTTGCTCTCTGTGGCCTAGCATTATCGTCCAAAAGGATGAAGTCAGGGCCGATAGCGTCAGCGTAGGGTCTGACATAGGCATCAAGGTTTTCATCGCAGTAAATTTTGTCCGTAACGGAACCGTTATGGAAGACATAGAGGTCAGTTTTCCCACGAAAGCTCCTCCGCCATATCGGTCATGTTTCACAACGTTACCTGCCTGGAACCTCCCCCAGGTTGTCTCCATACTCTAACGCGCCTGTCGGTGAAGTCGAGAAAGAATCTGGACTCGTTAGTAAAAAGAACGGGTTCCCATTCCTGAATAGTCCAAGTACTGTGAGCTTGGGCCCAATCTAATCGGTCCCTAACATGTCTGTCAGTTAAGGGAACTCGTACTGCTGGTCTACATGACCTTAAACCAGCATCATGAAGACGGTTCCTAACTGTCTGAGTGGCTACCCAGGTACCAGAAGCATTTGGGAGGTCATTTCGTAAAACTGTGGCAGTCTGGAACCTGTGACACCGTGCCTGTATGAGCAAATATCGGTCTTGGCGCTGCGTTGTAGCCCTAAAACGACCTCCAGCATGACGTCTGGAAAGGTTTCTGTTAGTTAGGAAACTATTCCACATTCTTGCAACCACACTTTGAGACACCCGAAGGTCTGCTGCAACCTTTCTTATCCTCGCTTAGCCTTTGAAAGGGGTGTACACGTGGAAAAACTGAACACACCCACAGAGGACGATTTGGAAGGCTAACATATTCGCCCAAAACAGTACGGAAGGAAAATATAATATCCTTTCTAACATTTTGATTTCTGTTTTCAAAGTATAGGTGATCTTTAGCAAAATTTGAGTAGTATATAGGATATCAATCATCTTCCCTTCGCTTCATGGCTTCATTAGAAATACGCAATTTCGTTTTCAGATGCTGTGGAATATACACCTTACAAAATTAAAGTATACGAATGTTTTTACTCTCGATGACAAGTGCTTGAGATATTGTGATTAGGTCAAGGGTCACCTTTACGTGCTGGCCTCGTTCCAAAGTAGCCACGAGCTATAATTGATATAAACACCTTCTATAATTAATTACATTATGCCCGTGTTCATGAAATTAATACAGTGTCTACCTGGTATAAACCTCATATAACTTACCCTAATCTACTTTGAAGGTCACAGGGTTTGGATATTTTAAAAACTGCAAAGTTGATCATTCAAAGAGCCAAAAGATCAAGAGCCAAGATGCTTTATTATTGATGTGTTCTAGCAATGCAGTGTTTTAGATATTGTGTTGAGGTCCAAAAAGTCTAAGCAAAAGTGATTACCAGGGTCAGAAACATTTTATGTACAATGTTTACACTGCTCAAGATGCTATCTTGCTATAGACGGTCGAGATATTTTTGAGAGGTTGCGTAAAATCAAATGTCCAAATCCGTTACCAAAGCAAAATATGGGAACTCTTCAAAATTTCAAGAATGCTGTAGACATGGTTTTGGGCTGATAGTTGGATTTAAGTATACAATGTTTCCTTAAATAATGACCTTATAAACTTCTTCCAGTGTATGAGGGTTTATGGTAAAAAACAACATTATAATACTTGAAAGACGTTATGAAATGGATACCTCCGGAAAATGTGGTATGTTTGATAACCAGACATAGATATATTTTCTTTTTTGGTGTGTGGAAAAGTTAAGTCCATTTTGAATATCTAAGACTTTTTAGCAAACAAATGTTGCTCTCAGGCTCAATATTACGTCCAGTTGGCTTCGTCAGGGGCCAGGATGCCAATCTATTTGGAGTTTATTATTTTTTTGTTTTGTTAGTTTCTTTCTTTGACGCATTATTACAACCCCTTCTCTTCAACAATCGTTGTTCTGATTTTTAGCACTCTAAGTTGATTATATCTACAAATGATGATGCTCTTCATATTTGAACAAAAACAGTGTTCAGAGATATCTTATAAATTCAAGATTTATTCTAGGTAGCTTTTCAAATTTTGTTATAACGATGTTAGCTGCTTCGATACCCTCTCAATAAAAAGATCCCCTGAGTTGAAATTAACATTTTCAAATTCATCCTCGTAATAAGTGTCATGTTGACTTAACAATTAACTATAACAGATGTCTTTATGGACTTCTTGGTGGAGGTCCATGAATTCAGCTTCGGAACTGAAATTCGGCAGAGGGAAAGCCTTCACCGAGGCATATTTACAAGTTTCAATAGGTATACAACACATATAGTACGATATCGGTTTTGGACCCATGTAGTCTTTATTTGATACTTAGTTTGCATCTCAATACAATACTCTGTAAATGTTTGGCTGTACCTATATATTTGTAGGTAAGTGAGCCACCGTGTCACGTAAAATGGCAGAAGGTGGCCCCAGTCTAGTATCTCCCCCTGTGGACAGTACACCGCATGGCTTGTTGGACTCACACCTCCTAGATTGTCCAATCTGTTTGGAGCAGCTGCGCAAACCGAAGTGTCTTCCCTGCCTCCATTCTCTTTGTGAGGATTGTTTGAGTAGCTACATCGTAAAGGAGGTGTCGGGGACGAGTGATACGGCGTCTTCCTTTACTTGTCCGGTATGTAGGAAGTTAACTCACCCTCACGACAATTCTGAGGACACAGAAAACTGGGCCAAGCAGTTCCCGATTGACAGTCATGCCGTAGAGATGATACAAATTGCGAACCAGACAACTGAGCCATATCACTGTAAACCCTGCCAGAAAAAGGGAGACAGGACGCCCGCACATTTCTGGTGTAAAGCGACAAAATCTTTATTCTGCAAGTCCTGTAAAGACGATTGCCATGACATACTTCACACCGAATGCGATCCTGTCGACATCAGTAAATCAGGCAGGTTTCACCTAAAGCATCAGGGAACATCTGACAGAAGATGTCATCAGCACCACAAGAGGAATCATTACTACTGTGAGGATCACAAATCTCTCGGCTGCAGTAAGTGTATGGTTGCTGATCACAAGAGCTGTAAACACGTATCTTCGATCGAGGATTTCTGCAATAAAGTAGAAAGCACCTGTCGTCTGGATAAAATCAGAAATGCTCTTCAACAGGGGGTGGATGCTTTGAAACCACTGATACAGGACTTCTATTTACAGCTTCAAAGTATTGCAGACGACAAAGATATGGCTTTCAAAGGCATCGACGATCTTCAGGAACAGATCAATAAATGTATTGCCGAGATGAAGAGGGAAACCACAGATGAGTTAGTCTCTGCGTACAAAAAGGAGCAAGAGCAGCTGAAGAAATCAAGTCAGAAATGTGAGCGGCTGAGAGTAGCTATGCAGAATACTCTGGAGTCGTCCGCGGCCGCGCAACAACAGAAAGATCTCCCGAACACGGTCCTGCTGTACCAGAGAGGTCAGGCCGAGGTCGAGTCCTGTAAGAACTTGGTGGATGAGCTAATAAGAAAATTTTCCACCACCAAGATTGATTTTGAAATCCATTCCAATGTCTCAAACGTAACAGCAGTTTCGAGCCTTGGTAAAGTTGTTGTTCGGAAGAAGGACAGGAATGTTCCAGGTGGCTTGGATGTTTTCTACAAACCATTGTTCGGACGTAAAATGAAAGAAATCAGAAAGACATACATTAAATGTCCATCGGATACGAAAGATTGTTGTATACTTGGAGTTGTTAATCTCCCTGATGGCCAAATGATTGTTTCCGATTTTAGCAACCGGAAACTAAAGTTAATCAGTAGCGACGGAAATGTCGTAAACGAATTGAAAATGAACGGAAAGCCCCGGGTTCTTTGTTTGGTGGATAGCATGACTGTTGCAGCGGCTACAGAAAATCCCGAGGGTATATGTGCGGTGACAGTCGGGCCCTCCAGTCTTACACTGTTCACTGAAATAAACACAGGGCAGCCATGCTACGGTATAGCGTACAGAGATGGTGAATTCGTCGTGAGTACAGGATACGAAGTGTGCAGTATGAGTAAGGACGGTACGACACACATGTTACACGGATATGGTGATATGGTATTGGGAATGTCTTATGATTCCCAGCATGGGCAACTGTTCATCACACATAACACAGACACTCCAGGCAGAACGGTCGTCAGAAGTTTGTCTGATGACAACAACAACACTGACGTCTTGGAAGTCGGTGTCGTTAGGCAAGCGTTTGGAGTTGACGTTGATGAACAAGGTAACGCCTATGTCTGTGGTTACGGCTCCAACAACGTGGTACAGATGTCCGGGGACGGGACAAACATCCGAGAACTGTTAACGGAAGCGGACGGTATCAACCAACCACGGGCAATCTCCGTATGTGGGGATAAAATTGTGGTGACTAATGATTCATCAGAACAAATGAACTTCATCACATTGTTCCAATTAGCTTAACATTAAGATGAAATTCATATTTATTGTGCGATACGGTATGAAAACGTCCGGGAGGCTAGAGTGAAACAATCAATATCCGATTTTACGACTTCTGCTTCTTTTATGTTTGTTACACTTTTACAATGACTTTAAAACTGTCAACAATGGGGTGTCCCGTCTGGTAAGGTAATAGTACACGTGCGAACTGAATTGTATGGATTTGATCGCCGGTCAGAGTTCAACGATGATATAACAATTATCAAAAACACAGCTGGACGTTATCTGCATCAAGTTTGTCTGTTAACCGTATATCTACCTGCGTGTCGGTTAAGGTCATTTTAAAACGAGTTTGGCAGGCGGTTTGTCAATTACTGTTAGATAGGTAGATGACCATGAAACATGGATGAAGCATGTCAACATACTTTCAATCAGGAAAAATGTAAGTTTAACTACGAAATCGTGTTTATCCAAAGACCATTCCTTTATATATATAAACCATGATACCTATCGAACAACTGCGCGATAATTGTCACAGTTCTTCGCACGCTGTTATTGCACATTTTTAATCGTGCGCACACCGCACATCATATAACGTTGTGCGATCCAACAACTGTATAAATTATGTATGCTGGATGATCCTCATTCAAGTTTACCAGTGTGAGAGACTTGAGCTATCCTAAACTATTGTAAGTGTCGCGCAGCCTACTACATTGTAGCTGAACTGATTTCTGTTGTTTTGTACATATAAAAAGTGTAAAGATTTGATGGTAGAGGTAGCCGGAGTGCCCGGAGAAATAAAACCCCTTGCGGCCAGTATCTGGTGACTGACCAATGTAGGCCTTGAAACCAAACGTTCTGCGACCCAGTGATGGCAGGAGGGGGCTAGTGGTTCTAGACTGTCAGGTGTCTTTTAACTCTGTCACCGCGGCCCCTTGAACTGAGTACTTAGCTAACGGGCAACTAATGTGACGAACAAAGTTTTCCAATTTCCTGAGTCATTGTTTGTTCATTTCTTCGCATGTGGAAAGCACTAAAAATCCTTAAGAACTGTAAAAAAGTAATAGTCTAAAAAAGAAGTTTAGTTGAATGGAAATTGTAACACTTTAAACCTGATGTTGCTAATAATCGGTTGATATATATACAAAATAGCAATAAATACCAAATAACCTTTTCGAACATATACATACAGTTACTGTTCTTCGAAGTTCAAAAACTGGTAAATAACGATGAACAGTATGAGTATCTCCCTTCTATTATTGAATTCACATTCAATCAAAATTTTCAATAAATGAACATCACCAACTCCTACATGTACCCCTCTGCTTGATTTAATTTGAAAAACAAACATTTCTCAGACCATCAGTACCTTACATCCTGTCATGTGTTATTTTAAATATCTCGGACAGTGGCTACCCGATATCAATTGCAATTTCAAATAATCCTCTCTGATTCTAGCTAACATCATGTCATGTGTTATTTGAAATATCTCAGACAGTGGCCAACCATATGTAAATTGTAATTTTAAATATTCCTCTCTGATACTAGCTCACAACATGTCATGTGTTAATTGAAGTATCTCAGTCAGGCATCATCTACCACCCTGTGTAGTGCTATTGAAGTATCACGGGTTACTCACGGGGGGGCAGATACTGACTAGGGAACAGAATCACTACATTGGGGATAGAATGATAATGGCTTCGAGCTCCACGTGGTGACCCAGAATCATTTGCCAACTATAAATCTCCTCTTCTATCTTACATCCTATGTTCTTCATCATGTAATCCATCTGCACTCTCAAGTAGATGTATTCTCTTGTTGAAACTCCAATATTCTATGTGAATGAAATCCTTCTTCAAGTTAAAATTCTGCTAAGCCTATGGTCGTCTGCCTGAACCATGCCATTTTTTTAAAATAGTAATCAAGGTAACAGAGATGCTTTACTGATCTTTATCACAATCCACCTCTGTAGGATAGGGGAGAGAACTCCCATAACGCATAACCTAAATTCTGTTCCCTAGTCAGTCTCTGCCCCCCGTGAGTAACATTATCTTCTTGTTTCCTCACAGTCAGGGTTCCGTAAGCATCATTCTTGCGAGACTGCCTCACTCAGTATTGTTAATAAGTGGGCAAAGGAAATTGACAAAGGAAATGTCAATGGTGTTATTTTTATAGATTTTAAAAAAGCCTTTGACATGGTAGATAATGAGGTTTTAATTCAAAAGTTCGCCATATATCAATGTGACAAATTATCTTTGAGCAGGTTTCAATCTTATCTCTCTCATCGGTTTCAAAAAGTGACAGTTTCTTATCATATTTCTAAAAGTAATCAAATTACTCATGGTGTTCCACAGGGTTTCATAATAGGTCCCCTGATGTTTCTTATTTTTATCAATAATTTAACTCTTGGGCTAAAATCAGGTACAGATATGTATGCTGATGACTCGACTCTGAGTGCATCTGTAAGTTCTATTTCTATTGTACAGGATGAGTTACAAACTGATCTGAGTAAAGTCCAAGACTGGTGTAATAAGAATAAAATGATTCTAAATAGGAATAAAACGAAATGTATGGTTATTGCTACAAAACAGAAACTTAACAGAATAGATCATGCTCTAAGCCTAACATTAGATCAGGAATGTATTGAACAAGTAAAGAGTGAAAAACTTCTTGGTGTAAAAATTGACAACAGTTTATCTTGGTCAGATCACATAGCATCTGTTGTTTCAAAGATTAACAGTGGTTTTGGTTTACTTCGACGCATCCGTCAATATTTACCACTTTCAGCTAGACTTAAAAATGTTCATGCATGGTTTTTTCCCCACTTCATGTACAGTAGCACAGTATGGAGCGGATGCTCTTTAAAATCTTCTACAAAAGCTGTCAAAAGCGTAGAAACAAGCTGCAAGATAACTGTTGGATGCTCCATTTGATACACCATCAGTAGAAATGTTTTCTTCATTAGGGTGGTTACCAATTGGCGAACATTTGAAATTCATAAGAGGTGTTATGGTGTACAAATGTATAAATAATCTAGTTCCAGGATATCTTTTTAATCATTTTAATTTGTCTACAAACAGATATATTAGATCAGCACCCCAAAACTCTGTCAAGGTACCCAAACACCGTACCACATTTTATCCCAAACACCTTTTGGTACAAGGGAGCCAGATTTGGAATAATTTACCGGTTGAAGTACGACTCTATTCCTCCTTGACAAAAAACATTAAGAATGCGGTTTAATTGTCTTTTATTTTTACTATTATATTTTTTAGATACAGCTTTGATTTGTTTTATTTTCGCTATATTAGCGTGTATTCTGTCAATTTTTTTTAGCTTTTGCTACATTAGCATATATGTAAATTAGACAATTTGTCTTTTAATGAAAACCATAATGGGTTAAGGACGGAATATGTTTCGTTGCTTCTGTGATAATTTTATTGTAATTGTATTGAACGACCGTTTAAATTATGAAATAACTGTGATATGAATTGCTGTTTTAGTAAGACCAACAATTATTTTATGTACATTTATTTGCTGTGATACGACTTTGTCTTTTAACTAACCAATTTATCTAACATAGGACCCAGTGGAAGATTAGCTTTGCTAAACAGGTTTTGTATACTCAATAAATAAAGTTTATTATTAATATTATTATTATTATTAAATTAACGAGACACTGCGTGGGAGCTCTGGTCGATGACTTCTGTCCTAGATGTAGAAAAAACTTTTAAATTATTTCACAATAAATAAATTGTAATATTTACATTTGGTGTGGCAAAGCCCTTCTATATTACTACTTAAGTACTGCCAATAGCAGCTTCATCTTATGAGACTATAACAAAAGTTGGTCTTTGCACCTCCGAGCGACTTAACAGCGTCACTACCGAACTTATCGGTATCTTCTGCTTTGATCCCTAACACCAGCTGGCTGTCTCAAGTGTCTGTGAGATCAACAAACAATTTTACGCCTGGATTTTTCACCAATTCAACCTTCTCCGGTTGCACGATCAACATCAACAACATGCCGGACCGCAAATATAACTCTGACCTGATTACTGCGGGCTTCCGTTGAGTGCGTGCGCCGGATATAGGTCGCAATAAAATCGGAAAATGTTTTACGACACTTGATTAGTTACTTACAAAATGTCATTTGTTACTATTTATGAATCGAGAATATGATATATATATAAATCAAAATCAAATGAATTATTAACGAAAGTTGCGGAGTCTTTTCAATTTTGTATGGGAAATAGCGCATGACGTCAGCTGTTATCTTTGTGCCGTTCTAGATACTGACCTGACCTGACGGTAATAAGCGGGAAATTTGAAATTTGGAAAAGACCTAAAAAAAAATTGCGAATTCTCATTATGGAAATATAAATATAAGCAATAAACTGCATAGATGTGGCAGACCAACTGGTATAACTGCCAGTTGGTCTGCCACATCTATGCAGTTTATTGCCTAAATATACATTGTCCATACCATAGGAGAGGGCTTGTAAAGGCATTACGTCTGTTGCCCAATTCCTTTTGAAATGTGTATAAGATGCAATATTCAATAAAATGTTTGTGAAATGAAACGAGTTACCCATTTTAGTATATCTGATTTTAATATGAATCCATCTTTTCATGACACCAATTATTTAGTACGTGATGTCAAAATCATGGTTATCGAAATCGATCGAAGAATTTTTGTGTAACAAAGAATTTCTACTGTTCTGATACTTTTATGACTATGACTGTTTTCGTATTCCCATATTTACTAACAAGATCTTATTTGACTGGTAAGAGTAACACATAAATATACCTATGCAATTGATATTTTTCGGACTTTTTGTCCATTCCTTGCCTGTTTATCTTATTGAGTCACTCTTTAATACACACAAACTATGTCGAGGAAACTTGTACTTTGGAAGTGTTATGATTTATTTGAAAAACGGTTGTCAGAATAATTTGTGCAATAATTGTGCTATTAAATATTCTTGTTGAAAACAATTGATTTAGTCGACGTCGCTTAAATTTTCTTATATTAAAAATTCAAAAATCAAACATATTGTGTTACTAAAGGTATCCGTCTCGAAACGTGTAGGGGGTGGGGTGTACTATCCCCCATTTTTTCGAGGCAGATACCCGTGGTGCCACTGTAGGCCTTATTCATGCACAAAAATAAAGAGACATTTGTTTAAGAATAAAACATGTTTTTCATTTAATGTATTGTCATGAAGAAAAAAAATAAAAAAGTGCCTCCTTCTTTACATTTATGGACATGAACATAATAAATGCCTCCCGCCCTCGTCTCATTTTTAAAATTTATTTTTTGGGGGCCTTAAGCGACAAATGGATTTTTTGTATATCTTAAACCTCCCATAGAGATTCGATAGAGGCAATAATTTGGAAATCAAGATCGGTAGCCTATAGCCTTTTATTTAAGGTTTTTACACCTGAAACAAATCGAATAGCTTATCGGGGGCTTTGATCTTGTCATTATCTTGAATGGTGCAGATAAATATTTGTAACGAAAGCGGAACATTGGATTTTGACAACGCCTTAAGAAAACAGCAATATCCACACTCTGAGGTTCAACTTTACTAACGGCTCAAACAAAGCTATAGATGTTACTAAAATTACGTACCATGTGATTTTGTCTATTGAAAATTATCAAATGACTGTGCTATAACATTTTATTTCAATTTAAAACACCTTAAGTCAGATAACATATAATATACTGTATAAACAACACAATGAAACATATCAAATATTGTAAAACTGTAAATGTATTCATTCGAATGACAATATTCACATTTTAATTATTTATAACATTAAAAAATTAAACATTTGATTTTACAATTTAACATCTGAATTCAGTATGAAAGCATGAAACATTTCAATTGATAAATCATATATATATATTTTATTTTTAAAACAATCTGATATAATTTACCCATCATACCTTACAACGTCAATTGTTTTAAAATGGTATATTATCACATGTATTTCTAAATTAATTTTTCTCTACTTGTGTTTCTGGTTCAATAGTTTAATAAATTTTATTGTTAAACTTCTACCAGGTCCACCCCAGCCTGAGTCCACATATGTGAGATAAAAAGTGATAAGGTATATGGAGAACTATATTTGATTTACACTCTTTTAGACTGTGCGGGACCAAATCTCTCCAAAACCTGACGAAACAAATGGAGAGATTTGGTCCCGCACAGTCTGAAAGAGTGTAAATCAAATGTGGACTCAGGCTTGGGTGGACCTGAAAAATAGAAGAAATTAGTAAAAAAAACTATTCAATTCATTTTGCTGTGGAGTACGAGGAATGTCTTCTTGGTTAAATATTTCATTTTAAGTTACATTAATGGATAGAAAATAATTGATGGTTTCCCAATGAATACAAGATGTAGCAGAAATATATGCTACATATATTATATAACGAATACGGCAGACTGATATCAATATTTTCCCAAGTGCGAAGCACAGGTGAAAATACCGGTAAATTCTACCTAAATCATGAAATATATATGGTATTCAACGGTAAAACCATTACATTTGTTTTGTATTAATCACATTTTTAAAGTAGCACGACACAATTGCTGCGTCAGAAAAGTTCTGGAATTAGTAGCGTAAAAAACGGAAAATCTATGCAGTGGATAAAAAGTACCGTTGCGTACATTAGAAGAAATTAATTGCTAGCATATGTCTTATAATAAACAAAAACTTTGATGGAGTTATTTTTAGAATTATATGACACAGATGACACAGATACAGTTTGTGAGTTTTAGTTACTTGGGGAAAGCGTAATTACGACGGAAATTGTGTAAACGACGTTTTTTCCAAACATGGAATAGTGTTGTTTGAGCGCATGAAATGATTCGATCTATAAACACGTATGATAGTATATATCTTGACAAAGAACTACTTTCATCTGCGGCAAAGTACACTGTCACAGATTGTTATGATAATAATAGGAAAATATTTATATTATTTCGTCATTAAGAAATTAAGTCACACAATTATCAAATTATACCATTCTATAGGGATATCTTGATACTGAATACAACAGTCAATAGCTAAGAGAGAAAAAAGACAAAAACAAAAGTAGTTCGTGATAAAGGAAATGGATTCGGCTTACAAAACCACGGATCTAAACGATAAATTGACATCAAGCATCGAAATAACAGCCGATTTTGCAGTGAACAACGCACCGCATTACATTCCGATACAAGAATCCGATCTATTTGTCCCTATCGTGCTACAGTAGGATAACAGTTGATTATCTCTCGTTATCTATGGACATTACTCTACTGTTGTCATTTAATGACTAACATTCTACAGACATACATGACACAAAATGCAATTATCGAATTAAAAAAAGCACATTGTACGGAATAGGACACATGCAGTATAAAAACCGTGTGTGGACACAGACACTTTGTATACATCTGATGCACCGACTATGACCGAACTATCGCAAACCTGATTCTTTTGTTTCCCGATCTGAATCAGAGTAAACCGTGAACTCATTATGCAAATGTTATGACGACTACAAAACTTCAGATCACTCAAATTGTCAGTTTTTGATGGTCAGATAAATATGATCGTCACTTTGATGTTTCCTATGTCACAAGATGTATCATAATAGAATTAAGGCAGCACTGTACGGAAACTGTATATGTTTACTTCCAAACGATTGGACTTGTTTTAATGTTCTGGGAAAGCCTGCCGTAACTGACTTAGAGTCGCATATATCATAATAACACTATGGCAGACATGACACTTATTAAGAGAGCTGTAATTGACAACGTCGATCGGTCGGCCGACGCTCGAATCTCCGACACCGACGGGTCGACGTAAACCATCCCACCTATAAATAGAAACAAGGGAAGTAATTGATTTTTTGTTAACGGTAAAGGTACTGTAACAAATTAAGTCTTCTTTAAAATAGCCTTAATATGTCATTTAACAAATGAAAATCTAAATCGAAGAATTTAAGAGGTTTTGCATATAAAAATAACATTTTGTTTCGGATGAAGCATAATGTTTTATGAAATTTTAAAAGGCCATGTGCAATAAATTGATTTTTCGTACAATATTTTGTATTCTAAACATTATTTGTTTATTCCTTAATTCATAAATCCTTCTCTCTGTTCGTGTTCAGCACCCAATCCCTGTTTAAGGAAGAGCGATATAAAGTAATTCAAATCTTGAAACATTTGAGTTACAGCGATATGCTGTATAGAATGGATCTACCGTATTGGGCATATAGGACATAATTAATACCTACAACACCTTGATCGGACTACAAGAAATTCGAACCGCAGGTTTTTGAATGTTAAACGGCTTAAAACGCGGGGGAAATGAATTTGAAATATTAGGTACAACAAAAATCATAGCTAGTTAAGAAAAATCTCCATCAAAAAGAAATGCATGGTCTATATCAAACAATGATATCTGTTTAAATAAATCATTTCAATATTTGAGTGAGTTTCAACTGAAATTTATTACACCGCCATATCTAGCTACATCATACGTAATTTGCTTGCTTTCATAAAGCAATTCATGCCAAAGACGCAGAAAAGCCTGCGTCCATATCTGTTCCTAATATAAATCCTCTGACGCTGCTTACCTAGCGTAAAGTAGACCGTCTCTCCGAGATTACCGTCACCTCCCTGGCTGTATCCCAGGATACGTAACTTATACAGATTGTCCTTCTCCAGGCCGTAGATGACCGTCTGATCTACCTTGTCCACAATCACGTCTTTAGCTGTCCTTATATTGTCATTGCTCAGCCAGTATCGCACCTACAACGTCATCAACGATATCACCACGTGTAACGTCATCAACGACATCACCACGTGTAACGTCATCAACGACATCACCACGTGTAACGTCATCAACGACATCACCACGTGTAACGTCATCAACGACATCACCACGTGTAACGTCATCAACGACATCACCACGTGTAACGTCATCAACGACATCACCACGTGTAACGTCATCAACGACATCACCACGTGTAACGTCATCAACGACATCACCACGTGTAACGTCATCAACGACATCACCACGTGTAACGTCATCAACGACATCACCACGTGTAACGTCATCAACGATATCACCACGTGTAACGTCATCAACGATATCACCACGTGTAACGTCATCAACATACAGGCATTGCCCTCATTTCAAGGAAACATTTGAAATTGTCAACCAGAGACCGTGAATTACAGAACAGAAATAGCTTCTCGGGAGTCTGCAATTCCTCTAAACATTGACCAATAGCAGGTTTGACATACCAAATATAATTCCAAATAACAAGAAAAACAAATAATAACATCAAATTCAACCCAATGAGATCTATAAAGCAATAATAAAAAAATCTAAAATCTAAAATTGCAAAATTTTACAGTACTGTATCGAAACATCAGCTTATGAATAACGAGTAAATTTGAAAACCGTTATATGTCAAATAGCTGCAATCACGGTAACTTACAAGGTCCAAATAAATGACACTTTTTCTTTTTTATAGAAATTATAGATTAAGAGAATTAACCTTGAACCCCTGGAGAGGTTCCTCGTAAACACCCGTTGACACGCCCCTCCACGTCACCAGAGCACTGTTGGCCCCATGTGAGTGTACGTGAACCTCGGTCGGGTACAATAGAGGAGCTGCAAAACAATACGAATGGTCACGTGTCACATCATGTGGTGCTTATTATTGACCAGGTAATGTATCATTCGATATCTCGTGTGATGGAAACAAATTAACATTAATTTTTCTTTTTTAAATATGCTATAGAATTGTCTCATCAACTTTATATGTTGTTGGTCGTTGGTGCCCATGTTACTGCGGAAATACGAATCTTCAAGTATTGACAGAAACAACACATGCTGTTTGTTCAATCACTTTTCATTCCACATACATTGACATTTTCACTACAAGTTTTTTATATAAGGATTACCATAAAAAAATGCGTTCATATATATGTACTTGAACGTGATATGATCAGCGTCATTTTGAAGCTTTTCTCGATTAACAGGATACAACCGTCAGAAGCAAACATTTTGATGACGTACATCTGTTTTAGGAATCTCCTTTGCATTCGTGACAGACACTTTAATATCAAAAATATAATGGAATATCTGTTTTGAGGTCAATAATAACTAAAAACTTATAATGTAAATATATAAGAATTGAACGACATTTTTTTCAATATTCATACCAGCATGAAATTGGAAAAATGACGTTATCCCTGACAACAAAAAAGGGAGTTCCGCAAAGGGGGAACATGCTAAATCATACAGTTAGGCAAAACATATATAACTTTGTTTCAAATAACATGACTGAAAAAATAGGGTAGGTCTGTAGGGTTTTGAGGGTGGGGTGGGTGGGTGGGGGGTTAAGAAATTACAAAAAATAACCAAACATGTTTATTCAGACCAACTGTATTCTTTTATCGCTATAGTTGTATGTCTTTTAGATAATAGTATGGTATTAAAACTTTATTTTGATACCAGCCTATGAATCGTCCCATGTTCGAATGGAATGGGACGTTTAAGTGCATTTGAGTGAAATAAAAATGTCGGGGTCGGAGGTATATAAACTAGGGTCGATCTGAGTACATGAAACATATACATATATCTTGCGCCTCAGACTATAGCAGCCAATCTTAACGTAAACTGAAATAACTCTATTCTAACTGTTTTCCAACTGGTCTGGTCAATTCGACAGGCGCACAGGTACTAAATGACCGTTGCCTTAATTTGGTATTGGACCGTATTTTTTAAACGTTTTAAGTGATTAGTTTTTGTGTGTGGATGTCGATGTCTGACCGTTTTGGTAGGTACGTTGGTGGATCTTTTCACTGATTTGTCCCATCCCGGCCGTGTTGAGGACCTGGACGTCGAAAGTGTACCACGTGTAAGGCATTAGTCCGATGACGAGGCCCTGGGGATCGGTGGTCCTCCAGCTGATCGAATTTATGATGGGATTGGAGTCATTCCTCTCAAAGTAATTCACCTGTAAATACACACGCAGATAACATATGCAGACCACACTCTTAGCATCTCCAAAGAAAAAGGAAGGGGATATGTTTTATCTATATATATATGTTTTTCCAAATGATTGTGCTGTCAGTAACAAAGTACGGGCATAATGTTTTAAAGCAGGAAACTCTCTTGACTATACTTGTATATTACATGTAATGCCCCATTGGATCAAATACAGTTCATCGTACAACGCGGATTATTTTTTTGATGAAATAAAAAATGAAAAAAAAATCGAAGGTTAGATTTCCTCCTCGTCCATAATCCAAGCTTGAATTTGTAGAAAGATCACCTACAATGAATATTAACGTATTTTACTACGTTACGGAAAGTATTATTTTCTCCATAACAACACTGGGTATAAATGTTTGCCTCGTGTACCCTTTCCTTATACCAATAGTGTTATTTAGAGGCACCTTTGGTTATCCCATTGACAAATTATTGACAATTGTGACATTTCAGAATGGTGACACCCGAAATGACCATCAACTGTGAGCACGTTTTCGTTTCACCTGAACAGCTACGGCGTACAATTCCAATAACAAAACACAACAGAGAAACCCCTGTCTCACATCCGTCATCCAGAATCCTACAAAATATTATCAATATGATCAATTATGTTCTTAAACATATTAAATGAAACATCTTTACGGGTTTAACCAGCCGTTAGTTCAAGCTCATGAACATTTTCCTCGTACCTGATATCCGAGTAATTTTCCCCGCATTATTTCCCTTTCATCTGGAATAGGGTCCCACACCACCAAGATGGCCGTGGAATTATGTCGCCAAGCTTGGATGTTCGTGGCTACAGCTACTGGCACTGGACAATCGGATCAAGAATTAACTTCATGTTAATTTTAACATTGTATTTTCTTTTGCCCAAACACTTTGATACTTCTGTTGAAAATCAGAACGTTTAATGCTCTACAATCTGCATAGGTAAGAGACAGACCAAATATAGAGTCTCAAAATATATCTCATTGCAGAATGCTGATATGTAGCTTCTGCAAGTGTTTTAAAAAAGCAAATGGAAATAGAATACATCAGTGTGTGTAGTGATAGTACCCGCACATGTTCTAGATCATGTGCGTCTCATATTACGTTATAAGCCAAAAGAAACATTGGCAGGCAAAATGATAAAAAGTTCCAGAAAAAATGGCAGAAAATTGATTAATTACCATAGCAAACTAGACAGGAATGTGAAATGTCTATATACTTACAATCCTCGGCGGAGTAGACCAAAGCGATGGAGGAGTTTGGACCCTTGCCGAACTCGTTGTGTGCCTGAACTTTGACCTCATATGGTGAATAATAATATTCTTGCCCAATGGTTTGCACGTGTTTGCCGACATCTGGAGAGTTCAGTGTCTCCTGTGAAATATCAGTTATTAGCAAACTCAGATATATATTTTCTTCTATTTGATATATATGTAATTAAGCTTTAAGCTTTCTTTCATTTTTGTATAAAGTTTTGAACAGTTGACGCATGTTAACCATAGAATAAAGGTAGGAGTTCGATGTAGAAATAGTTCTACAGAGTTAATGTTTCAGTATTTTAACAAACGAAATTAATATCAAACAAATCTTGTATCTTTTTGCTTTGATAAAGTTCAAGTCTTCCTCAGCGTGTTTTATAGCAACTCATACTAGCATGAAAAGTTACATATATCTAAATGGGTACATTTCCGTTGAACAGCCATTAAATAAAACTACTAACCACAAACGTTGTTAAGAACCAATAAAAACGAACAAGAACAATTGCACGTGAATAATTCCTAATCGGAAACTGTTTGGGTATTTTTTCCGTACTGTTAAATCGTCCAATAGACGATCATTCCTGAACGGCTCCGGTTGACGTTTGGCCTACCTTTACCCAGGATGCATCACTAGTGCTCCCCGCGGCGCGCCAGTACACAGTGTACGATACCGCTGCTCCGCCCCAATCTTCATCAGCCAATAGCTGCAATGCGATTGTTTGATTGGTTAGAATATCGATTCATTACAAAAAGAAGGATCATATGGATATAATTAACAACGGTTGTTTGACCTTAGTCTTGGGCACAGTAATACCAAATAATTGAATAATGTAATTGTACTGATATACTCTGCGTTTAACTGCAGCTTATAAGCCTTAAGACTTAACGGAATATATAGCCTCAATTTGAGCATATACAACACAACTAGTTGTCGTCTATTTATAAACTTACCAACCAAGTGAGGGTGAGGTCCCCGACACTCCCTCCCCCACCCCCTACATTGGCTGGGGCCACAGATGGGGCGGCCTGAAGCGTCTGAAATATATCTAGAGAACAAAAATATACATCAAGGTACGAACGTGCATGCATTTGATTGAACACTTATGGATACTACAGATATATGTTGTGTTATAAATGAACGATATCGTGAAATATACTTTAACATTCAAAAGAAATTTCTGGAAACTAAATTGGAACTATAATGTTTCGCTTGATGGATTTCGTTTTACTTTGGCTACAGTAATGCCTTTGTCCACCGGATATTGCAATTTCCAAAGCACCAAGAAGTCTTTTAATTAAAGACAGTTAATACAGTGTAGCTACATCCTTTTCTCGTATCTATGTAATTAAACACAAAATGTTGCAATCACTACTAGAGTAAATACAGTTCAAAACTGGTGCTCACCGGATGGCTTGCTTGGTTCCCCAATCCCTAGGGAGTTGGCTGCCGATACGCGAAAAATGTACCCCACGCCTGGCTTCAGACCTGTGACCTCTATCACGTGTTTGTTACTCCCGGGTACAATTGTGTTAATGTCGGCGATAACTATAACGTTACAGAAAAGGAAAAATATCAGAAAGTCGTGTTCTATAGTGTATATTTACGAGAGCGGCACTTGACAAAGTGTCCATGTCTAGAAAGCAACAATAATGATGCATTTTATCTGTCGAGGACAGAGCAGCTAAACATAGAATAGTATTAAACATGTAAACTGTCTATTCAGTCCGTTTTCGTGAGTTAGAATTTACCATTTTTCGTCAGAAATAAGTTATTTTTAATACGCGTTACTGACAAAGTCATTTGTTGATAGAAACTTTATTATTGGACGCCATGTTTACCTGCTCATCGGTTTGAAGCTCTGTATGAGACATTTAAATAAAATTAATGGATATTATAGACTCAAATACGGCAAACATTCATAAATTGTTCGTAACAAACAGTTTAAAGAAAAGAACACTGTGCGTCATCCTCGATACTCAAGGGGTTACGCTCACTTTCGCTCCCTGTACCCCACGTTAGGGTCATAGCAAAAGTGAAGGTTTCGTGTGCGCCACCTTGTGGATGAGACAAAAAGACTTACTGGATCTTTTGATGTACATTAAGATAATATCTTGTTCGCGTAACGGTAACATTAACGGGCTTTGAAATCGGGTGTTGCTCCTCTGTAATCTTCAAAGGACAGGTATCAGCCTAGTGAGTGGTCAGGTGGGTTTTTTTTTTATCTGAGACCGATCAAATAGCTCGCCTTCAATTTTGCTATGACATATTTCCGAGAGTGTAGCGAACGTGAGCGTAACCTCTGGAGTATCGCGGATGACTGCGTGTACGTACATGGTACTACAACGGTCCATGTGTGTCCCAGCTCCGTCCTAGCCTCTACCATGTAAAAGTCCACAGGAAGGCCATTCAGGGCACCCACACTCCACTTAATGCGCACGGCATTCGTCGTGATGGTGGTTGGGTCGGCATACACTCCAGCAGGAGGCCCAGGCGGGCCTTAAAACAAAGAAAAAGTAAATATGTCAGACCGATTGTACTTTTTATTTAAACTTATTTTAAATATTCAATAATGATAATAGGCATATCTTTCGCTTTAATGTTAGGTTTCTAAACATTGATTAATTTATTACCTAAAACAGTCAGACGAGCGCTTGCACTTGACCTGTCCATTGTTGTCATGACGACGCATTCATAATCCCCCGAGTGCTTGAACTGGGCGTGCCGTATGTAAAGACCTTGGATGTTTTGCGATGCTCCCTATAGCAGCAGTTATAAAATTACACATGTTTTATTTTATATATTTTATAACTGGAAGTGATGGTCCTATGTATACGTGGCTATTAGCCAATGACATGCCAAGACATGAATATTACTTCAAAAAAAATGTACAGTGTAAGTACGAAACTATAATAGTCTCGGAAATATTGGTGCTGAAGTTTTCAATCAATACAATACATAACATTAGTTTTCATTGCAACATTTTGTGTTCATTGAGTGAAACAAAACGCTTAGTAATTATATAGGATAGCAATGTTATGGTCAAAATCTTTTGATATATGTCTTTAATACAGTTGGAATTCCTAATGACAATGGCTTTTCGTCTGAAAACATTAAAGGTTTCAATCCGTGTATGATTACATTTGTATGAGAGACATATATACCAATGCATAGTTCAGATCGTTGTCGAGATCAATAGGCTCTTCATTAAAGGTCCAGGTCTGGATAAACTCAATCGCCTCGGACACGGAGGCGCTGCACGCGAGGAACGCCGTGTTGTTGACGTAAACAGACGTTGGCTGGGGCAATACGTTGATAACTGTACTAGCTGTGGAATACAGGTGTTATATAAGTGACAGGTATGTAGGGAGAACTAACGCAAAGTACAACAATGTTAGTAAACTCTGGGTTTGGAGGGGTCTACGGGCTTATACACCCCGTCTGCTCTTTAAAGACCAAAGGGGTCTATGAGCCCGTAGACCTATCCTAACCAAGATATAACGAAGTTGTCACCCTGACAATCTTTTATTACTTTTTTCTGCAAACGATGTGAGTTTGAGCTGTACAAATTACATTAATGTAACTATGAAGAGAGATTCTAGTTTGAGATACCGCCCCTCGCAGGTGCTTTTCTAGACCCCGTCAGAACGGGGTCTATACAAATATAGACCCCGGCAAATTATCAAATCAGAAAGAGTTACAATTTAGGAAGGTAACAATGAAGAACCTCCAGCGAGACCTGTAAAATTAAATAACAAGGGAGAAAACACGTCGGTCTTAAAACGTTACGACACTTTAATACATACATTGTTTGAGTAGCAAGAAAAACTTTGATATAACATATATTTCAAAACTGACAAATCTTATTGAAAATAACACATAGAAATGGTCCAAAAAGGATTTACGTTTTTGGGTTCCCAGAGAGTAACACCAGCTCAGCTTATATGACAGTACATAGAGCGGATTATAATGGAAAGTCAATTAGACAGGTTTTGCAGTTTAATGTTTACAAGTTATCTGAAATTAGACAGGTTTTTTTTATTGGGGTTACTCTACGTGAAAAAATTAAAGGTATCCACACTAGACTGGTTCTTTAAAACTTTTCAAAGAATATAGTTTCTTTCCACAAAATAAAGTCCTCCACCACGCGAGGGTTTCTAATGATATCGACATCCATAAATTGATTCATGGTGCGGTGAATTGACGTAAACTTTGAGGACATAGATGTATACTATGTTTTAGTTGCACTAACTTACATGTGACATAGAGTGTCCCTGAGCTGGATGCAGAACCGTAGGTATTTTCGGCCGAACATAGATAAAGACCGGCGTCACCTTGTGCGACATTTTGTATAAACAGGTTACCATTCTGCAGCATACGAATCCGTGACGTCATGTCACCATGGCTCAGACCGAGGTCAGCTCCATTCCTACGCCATGTAAAAGTCGGAAACGGCGCCGCCTCTGGATCACATATTATAGTTGCATTTCCGCCTATTGCTGCGAACATGCGTTCTTCCAATGGTCGTTTTACGAATGTAGGTGGGAATGCTGAATACAAATATAAATCTTTCTTGCAATATTGCGATGCGTGCTACTCATAACCAAGAACACATATTGTGCTTCCTGACTATTTTAAATGATGAAACAGAATATTGTTTGATATATGCAAAAGGTCAAGAAGCAACACAACTTTTCTGTTGGCACAAAACTGTCCGACAGATATTTTCAAATTTGGACATTCAACTCCAGCCTTTCTCAATGAAATCCTTAAAAAATAGGCAACACATTCATACATGTATATTAAATATATAAGCTTCAGCCATTCAAGAACCTAACAAACGGTTTGCGTGTAAAATATGGACTAACGAATATAGACGCAAAAGCATACAGTATAAGCAACGCGAGCCTGCCACAGCTGAAGACTGTTCCATATGGCTATTTACGGTACCTGCATGAACTAAATATGGTGTATCTAGTGATATGAAGGTTCTTTGTGAGAAAGAAAATGTCCAGTTAAATGCTATACTGATTTTCTGCGATCTTCCCTGTCTTACCCAGCACTCGTAGTTGTCCCTCAGTGAACACCTCCCCGTAAACATTGGTCGCTGAACACTGGTACATCCCGTTGTGTTTTTCAGGGTCGATGTTGTTAATACGCATGACGTTTTTCACGATATTTATCTCCCCTGGGACGTTCGAAAGCTTGACTCCGTTTTTATACCAAGTGTAGGTTGGCGTGGGATATGCCTTTGCTTCACACCTCCAGGTCAGCTGACTCCCGATATCTACGTGTCGGTCGCTAAGTGGGTAACTGAAGAATGGCTTAGCTGAAAAAACCCAGGGAACCGAATTGTCGAGCGTGGTAAGTGACTAGACCCACATGTATAAAACATCTCAAAGTTAAGGAAAATCTCAAGCAATGTATTGCCTATGGGGAATCTTAGACTTGAGGAAATCTCAAGAGTTGAGATGTTTCATACAAGTGGGCCCTGGATTGGTGCCCTCTTGCACAAAACATATCATTTAATACAATTCCGTTAAATCCATTCACCATCCGTATATATATATACGACCTTGTGCAGTATGATATAGCAGTCAAATAACATTAGCAATTGAATAAGTATTCTTCAAATGTAACGTTATCTAGGTCGCACGCATCGCTGTACTCTTTTCTAATGCACAAACCTTTTTTTCTTTTACATAACAGTTTTGCTCGAAAAGTTGCTACAAATTCCAGCTTTATGCTAACAAAATGAAAACTAAAAATTCATCCGGAAATGATTTTAAGATTTACGATCAGTCAAATATCACTAATACCAATCGATGAACTCGGCTGTATGTATTACAAACCTTCTATGGTGAAATTAAACGACTTCTCCACTCTGATACCGAATCCCCGTGTAGCATGACAAGTGTAGGTCCCACCGTCCTCGATCTGCGCGCCCTCTATCAGCAGGACCCGGTTGTGATCTAGAATTCTGACCGTCCTCGGCATGGGCAGGATCTCCCGACTCCAGGAGTATTCTATCGGCATGCTTAAAGAAAAGGCACCGATATCTCGTGTACTTCTATCAAAGTTTACCTATGCTTACATTAATCGTCAAATTGCAAAAGTAAATGTAATGATTTCCTCATATTAGCCACTTGGAATACATATTCCCTGCTTCATGGGCCTTTGTTTAAATGCAAAAACAGGTAACATGAGTTCAAAAGTACCAAGACAATACCCATATATAACTTTAATTAACGTCCCTCATCGGGAGTGTCAGGCCCAAGGTACAATCGGATTTTAGAGGGGGGGGGGGGATATTTAGTTAGACATTATTCCTTCGTTTTTAAGAAAATGACTAAAACTTGACAAATAAGATTCCTAACGGAACTTTCTAAACGAGAATTTTACTTTTTCGAACGATACACTAATGGGCACATATTTAGATATGACAGTCTCATCTGTAAATGTAAATGTAGTGATATTTTCAAATGTTTGCCACTATTAAACAAAATGTTTTTTTAATGCCAAATACTCACCTGCCATAGGCTAAACATTCCAGGTAGAGATTCTGTCCTCTAACAGGTCGAGATGGATACACAGCCGGGAATTCGTTAACTATCTCAGGTCCCCAAAGACTCTCCACTACAGAAGTAATGCAGAAAAAGAGACTGAGAGAGAGAGCTATACATTGTTGTAAGGCATGTCTACCCCATACACCACAAACACAATAATACCTGGTTTGTGTGTTGGGACCTATGGCGTACCTGGTTTGTTTGTTGGGACCTATGACGTACCTGGTTTGTGTGTTGGGACCTATGACGTACCTGGTTTGTTTGTTGGGACCTATGACGTACCTGGTTTGTGTGTTGGGACCTATGACGTATCTGGTTTGTGTATGGGCGGATCACATTCGATTTGTTAAGTTTCTGTGTAAAATTTCTGTTTACATTGTTCATTAATGCTAATCTCTATCCTTTTTGTTCAGGCTGGTCTTTATCCTATTGGTTGGTACGAAACTTGATATTATTGGTTGGCGCAAAACCTTATCGTATTGGTTGACGTAAAACCCTATCGTATTGATTGACGCAAAACCTTATCGTATTGGTTGATGTAAAGCCTTATCGTATTGGTTTACGTAAAACCCTATCGTACTGGTTGACGTACAACCTTATCTTATTGGTTGACGTAAAGCCTTATCGTATTGGTTGACGTAAAACCCTATTGTATTGGTTGACGTAAAACCTTATCTTATTGGTTGACGTAAAACCCTATCGTATTGGTTGACGTAAAGCCCAATCGTATTGGTTGACGTAAAACCCTATAGTATTGGTTGACGTTAAACCCTATAGTATTGGTTGACGTAAAGTCCTATTGTATTGTTTGACGTAAAACCTTATTGTTTTGGTTGACGTAAAGCCCTATCGTATTGGTTAACGTAAAACCTTATCGTATTGGTTGACCTAAAGCCCAATCGTATTGTTTGACGCAAAACCTTATCGTATTGTTTGACGTAAAGCCTTATCGTATTGTTTGACGTAAAACCTGATCGTATTGGTTGACGTAAAGCCTTACCGTATTGTTTGACGTAAACTATTATCGTATTGGTTGACGCAAAACCTTATCGTATTGGTTGACGTAAAACCCTATCGTATTGGTTGACGCAAAACCCTATCGTATTGGTTGACGTAAAACCTGATCGTATTGGTTGACGTAAATCCCTGTCGTATTGGTTGACGTAAAACCTGATCGTATTGGTTGACGTAAAACCCTATCGTATTGATTGTCGTAAAACCCTTTCGTATTGGTTGACGTAAAACCTTACCTTATTGGTTGACTTAAAACCCTATTGTATTGGTTGACGTAAAGCCCTATCGTATTGGTTGACGTAAAACCCTATTGTATTGGTTGACGTTAAATCTTATCGTATTGGTTAACGTAAAACCTTATCGTATTGATTGACGTAAAACCCAATCATATTGGTTGACGTAAAACCCTATTGTTTTGGTTGACGTAAAACCTTATCCTATTGGCTGACGTTAAATCTTATCGTATTGGTTGACGTAAAGCCCTATCGTATTGTTTGACGTAAAGCCTTATCGTATTGGTTGACGTAAAGCCCTATCGTATTGGTTGACGTAAAACCCTATCGTATTGGTTGACGTAAAACCTTATCGTATTGTTTGACGCAAAACCTTATCGTATTGGTTGACGTAAATCCTTATCGTATTGGTTGACGTAAAGCCTTACCGTATTGTTTGACGTAAACTATTATCGTATTGGTTGACGCAAAACCTTATCGTATTGATACTGTTAACATTTTAGGTTTGTCTTTATCTTATTTGTTCCCTCTGAATCGTATTTCTTTTGTTGACACGAAACTTACTTTAATTGGTTCAAACTGTCTTTATACTAATGGTTGGTGCTGATAACATTCTCGTACTTACGTCTTTTTGACGCTTGTTATTACCTTGTTAGTTTTTCACTTAATATTACGCGACATTTCCTTCTTAAGATCTATTGGAAGTTATCTGCATAGAGCGTGACCTTATTGGGTGTGGTCTGTATGGGGCGTGGTTTTAGTGTAAAAGATGTGGATTAATTAAGTTGCCTTAAAAGCGTCAGCTGTAGGGTATTTCCCTTCAGCTCAGCGGTAGAGTATCGGGCTTGAGAGCCAAGGGTCTCGGGTTCGAGCCCCAGCGACGGCACTATCTTTATCACTTTACTTCGTCCTATCACAAATTGATGCCGTTGACCCTCCCCGTTCAAAGTAGGAGAACCCTTGGCGGGGAGTCAAAGAACATGGGTTGGTGTTTGAAAAAAGGGGGAATAGTGTAAAAGATGTGGATTAATTGGGTTGCCTTACAAGCGTCAGCTGTAGGAAATTTCCCTTTAGCTGAGCATTAGAGCATCGGGCTTGAGAACCAATGGTCACGGGTTCGAGCCCCAGCGACGGCACTATCTTTATCACTTGTCCTCGTCCTATTACATTAGTGCTTTAAACCATAAGACGTGGTCTTACCTTGTTGTGTGACGGTAAGCTGTATGGGGAGGCTGGTTCGGCTCGGTGGTTGGTTGGTTCCGATGACGGCTCCATTGTTAGACGTCAGTTCCACGATACAAAAGTACTCATCCTCGTCGTTTTTCGAAACAACCGAGAAATACAGTTTACCATTCCGCGAGATAAAGATGTAGGGAGTCAGGTCAGGCCGAACGTACGATCCCGTCCTCCGCCTCAGCCACTGGTATGTTATCGCTGAAGACAATGATCATATCTATCACGTTTTGATTAGTGTAACTATACTGTTACAATATGTAAAAACCATACAAATGGAAGGGGGTAACAATAATGTTTACCATTTAAAAGTATGTAGAAGGGCGGGAATAGGTGTATTATGTGCTTTGGCTGTGTGTGGGCGTGACTGACCACCATATAACTGATAGTTTTATTTTATTTGAAATCAGTTTTGTTGTTTAGATAACTCAAAGGGGCTGGTCGGGGAAAAAAATACAAAATATATGGGTCTAAATGCGTTCCCTGGCCTTCCAAAAGTTATACCTCGGCAATATGATGGTCAAGTTCTGCTTGCAATGTCCAGTTTTGACCACTGAAATATCGGGGAAGCCCCGCGTAAATTTAGCGCATATCTATTTATATATGTCACGTGGTTGTTTCGAAAGTGAGGCAGTGAAGATAACAACAATAGCACGTCGTCATGTGCCATGTCGGACTCAACTTTAGCGGACAAGACAGCAATACTATACGTAAATTATTGTTTTCAAAGGTCATGTATGATGCAAGTGTAGTATTCCTACCTATGTGTTGTTGTTATATATAACGGTATTGATACCTCGTGTCTGTCATGACTTTTGCATGCATCTTTTTCTTTCGCCGCGATGTTTATATTTGACCTTGTTGATGACGCGCGTTTGGTAAAATTACATCACTGATCTGGGTCAATTGAGAGTTTAAGACTGTCAGGTGAAGATTTCGGATTTCTTTAATATAATTATATTTTTTACTCTTATGTAGTGAATTTCAGCAAAATTTGAATCGGTATATTTCATAAGAAGGTGTTTTAAACATGTGTATGCCATTTTAGCAAATATGACATTTTTTCCCCGACCAGACCCTTTAAGTGTATCAGGAACAGGTATTAAAACCTTTTACAGTATCTGTGTTTGTGAGAATCGTAAAAAGTAACTGATGTGTGTGTTGTTACACGTACCTAATATACGTACCTTGCTTGTGTATTTCGATTTAATAAGTACAATGTTAGTTTGATTAGTGACCTTTGACGTACCAGGGTGGTATATTTTGACCTATGATGTACCTGGTTGGTATGTTTGGACCTATGATGTACCTGGTTGGTATATTTGGACCTATGATGTATCTGGTTGGTATGTTGGGACCAATGACGTACCTGGTTTGTATATTTTGACCTATGATGTATCTGGTTGGTATATTGGGACCTATGACGTACCTGGTTTGTATATTTGGACCTATGATGTATCTGGTTGCCATGTTGGGACCTATGACGTACCTGGTTTGTATGTTTGGACCTATGATATACCTGGTTTGTATATTGGGACCTATGACGTACCTGGTTTGTGTATTGGGACCTATGACTTACCTGGTTTGTATGTTTGGACCTATGATGAACTTGGTTGGTATGTTGGGACCTATGACGTACATGTACCTGGTTGGTATGTTGGGACCTATGACGTACTTGGTTTGTATATTGGGACCTATGACGTACCTGGTTTGTAGTTTTGGACCTATTATGTATCTGGTTGGTATGTGGTGACCTATGACGTACCTGGTTTGTATGTTGGGACCTATGATGTACCTGGTTTGTATGTGGGGGCATATGACGTACCTGGTTGGTATATTTGGACTTATGACGTACATGGTTTGTATGTTTGGACCCATGATGTACCTGGTTGATATGTTGGGACCTATGACGTACCTGGGTTGTATGTTGGGACCTATCACGTACCTGGTTGATATGTTGTGACCTATGACGTACCTGGGTGGTATGTTGGGACCTATGACGTACCTGGGTGGTATGTTGGGACCTATCACGTACCTGGTTGGTATGTTGGGACCTATGATGTACCTGGTTGGTATGTTGGGACCTATGATGTACCTGGTTTGTATATGGGGGCATATGACGTACCTGGTTGGTATATTTGGACCTATGACGTACATGGTTTGTATGTTTGGACCTATGATGTACCTGGTTGATATGTTGGGACCTATGACGTACCTGGGTGGTATGTTGGGACCTATGAAGTACCTGGTTTGTTTTTTGGTACCTACGATGTACCTGGTTTGTATGTTGGGACATATGACGTACCTGGTTTGTATGTTTGGACCTATGATGTACCTGGTTGATATGTTGGGACCTATGACGTACCTGGGTGATATGTTGGGCCCTATGACGTACCTGGCTGGTATGTTGGGACCTATGACGTCCCTGGGTGGTATGTTTGCACCTATGACGTACCTGGTTGGTATGTTGGGACCTATCACGTACGTGGTTGATATGTTGTGACCTATGACGTACCTGGGTTGAATGTTGGGACCTATGACGTACCTGGTTGGTATGTTTGGACCTATCATGTACCTGGGGGGTATGTTGGGACCTATGGTGTACCTGGTTTGGTTGTTGGGACCTATGATGTACTTGGTTTGTATATTGGGACATATGACGTACCTGGTTTGTATGTTTGGACCTATGATGTACCTGGTTTGTTTGTTGGGTATGTTTGCACCTATGACGTACCTTGTTGGTATGTTGGGACCTATGACGTCCCTGGGTGGTATGTTTGCACCTATGACGTACCTTGTTGGTATGTTGGGACCTATGACGTACCTTGTTGGTATGTTTGGACCTATCATGTACCTGGGTGGTATGTTGGGACCTATGGTGTACCTGGTTTGTTTGTTGGGACCTATGATGTACTTGGTTTGTATATTGGGACATATGACGTACCTGGTTTGTGTATTGGGACCTATGACGTACCTGGTTTGTAGTTTTGGACCTATGATGTACCTGGTTGGTATGTTGGGACCAATGCCGTACATGTACCTGGTTCGTATGTTTGGACCTATGACGTACTTGGTTTGTATATTGGAACCTATGACGTACCTGGTTTGTAATTTTGGACCTATGATGTACCTGGTTGGTATGTTGGGACCTATGCCGTACATGTACCTGGTTTGTATGTTTGGACCTATGATGTACCTGGTTTGTTTGTTGGGACTTATGGCGTACTTGGTTTGTATATTGGAACCTATGACGTACCTGGTTTGTAATTTTGGACCAATGATGTACCTGGTGGGTATGTTGGGACCCATGACGTACCTGGGTGGTATGTTGGGACCTATCACGTACCTGATTGATATGTTGTGACCTATGACGTACCTGGGTGGTATGTTGGGAGCTATGAAGTACCTGGTTTATTTTTTGGTACCTATGATGTCCCTGGTTTGTATGTTGGGACCTATGACGTACTTGGTTTGTGTATTGGGACCTATGACGTACCTGATTTGTATATTTGGACCTATGACGTCCCTGGTTTGTATATTTGGACCTATGATGTACCTGGTTTGTATGTTGGGACCTATGACTTACCTGGGTGGTATGTTGGTACATATGATGTACCTGGTTTGTATATTTGGACCTATGATGTACCTGGTTGGTATATTTGGACCTATGACGTACCTGGTTTGTATATTTGGACCTATGATGTACCTGGTTGGTATGTTTGGACCTATGACGTACCTGGTTTGTATATTTAGACCTATGATGTATCTGGTTTGTATGTTGGGACCTATGACGTACCTGGTTTGTATGTTTGGACCTATGATGTACCTGGTTTGTATATTGGGACATATGACGTACCTGGTTTGTATATTGGGATCTATGACGTACCTGGTTTGTATATTGGGACATATGACGTACCTGGTTTGTGTATTGGGACCTATGACGTATCTGGTTTGTGTATTGGGACCTATGACGTACCTGGTTTGTAATTTTGGACCTATGATGTATCTGGTTGGTATGTTGGGATCTATGACGTACATGTACCTGGTTGGTATGTTTGGACCTATGATGTATCTGGTTGGTATGTTGGGACCTATGACGTACTTGGTTTGTATGTTGGGACCTATGATGTATCTGGTTTGTATGTTGGGACCTATGACGTACCTGGTTGGTATGTTGGGACTTATGACGTACTGGTATGTTGGGATCTATGACGTACATGTACCTGGTTGGTATGTTGGGACCTGTGATGTACAAGTACCTGGTTGTTATGTTGGGACCTATGACGTACCTGGTTTGTATATTTGGACCTATGATGTACCTGGTTGGTATGTTGGGACCTATGATGTACATGTACCTGGTTGTTATGTTGGGACCTATGACGTACATGTACCTGGTTGGTATGTTGGGACCTATGATGTACCTGGTTTGTTTGTTGGGACCTATGACGTACTTGGTTTGTGTGTTGGGACCTATGACGTACCTGGTTTGTGTGTTGGACCTATGATGTATCTGGTTGGTATGTTGGGACCTATGACGTACTTGGTTTGTATGTTGGGACCTATGATGTATCTGGTTTGTATGTTGGGACCTATGACGTACCTGGGAGATATGTTGGGACCTATGTCGTTCCTGGGTGGTATGTTGGGTCATATGACGTACCTGGGCGGTATGTTGGGACCTATGCCGTACATGTACCTGGTTGTTATGTTGGGACCTATGACCCTATGATGTACCTGGTATGTTGGGACCAATGCCGTACATGTACCTGGTTTGTATGTTGGGCCCTATGACGTACTTGGTTTGGATGTTGGGACCTATGATGTACCTGGTTGGTATGTTTGGACCTATGATGTACCTGGTTGGTATGCTGGGACATATGACGTACCTGGTTGGTCTGTTGGAACCTATGACGTACCTAGTTTGTATGTTGGGACCTATCACGTACCTGGTTGGTATGTTGGGACATATGACGTACCTGGGTGGTATGTTGGGACCTATGACGTACCTGGTTGGTATGTTTGGACCTATGATGTACCTGGGTGGTATGTTGGGACCTATGAAGTACCTGGTTTGTTTTTTGGTACCTATGATGTACCTGGTTTGTATGTTGGGACCTATGATGTACCTGGGTGGTATGTTGGGACAAATGATGTACCTGGTTTGTATATGGGGGCATATGACGTACCTGGTTGGTATATTTGGACCTATGACGTACCTGGTTTGTATGTTTGGACCTATGATGTACCTGGTTGGTATGTTTGAACCTATGACGTACCTGGTTTGTATATTTAGAACTATGATGTATCTGGTTGGTATGTTGGGACCTATGACGTACATTATACCTGGTTTGTATGTTTGGACCTATGATGTACCTGATTTGTTTTTTGGGACTTATGACGTACTTGGTTTGTATATTGGGACCTATGACGTATCTGGTTTGTAATTTTGGACCTATGATGTATCTGGTTGGTATGTTGGGACCTATGACGTACATGTACCTGGTTGGTATGTTTGGACCTATGATGTACCTGGTTTGTTTGTTGGGACCTATGACGTACTTGGTTTGTATATTGAGACCTATGACGTACCTGGTTTGTAGTTTTGGACCTATGATGTACTTGGTTGGTACATTTTGTATGTTGGGACCTATGATGTACCTGGTTTGTTTGTTGGGACCTATGACGTACTTGTATGACGTACCTGGTTTGTGTGTTGGACCTATGATGTATCTTACCTATGAAGTACCTGGTTGTTTTTTGGTACCTATGCTGTACCTGGTTTGTATGTTGGGACCTATGGTGTACCTGGTTGGTATATTGGGACCTATGATGTACCTGGTTGGTATGTTGGGACCAATGACGTACCTGGTTGGTATGTTTGGACCTATGATGTACCTGGTTGGTATGTTGGGACCTATGACGTACCTGGGTGGTATGTTGGGGCCTATGACGTACCTGGTTTGAATGTTGGGACCTATGACGTACGTGGTTTGTATGTTGGGACCTATGACGTACCTGGTTGGTATGTTGGGACTTATGACGTACCTGGGTGGTATGTTGGGACCTATGACGTACCAGGTTGGTATGTTTGGACCTATGATGTACCTGGGTGGTATGTTAGGACCTATGAAGTACCTGGTTTGTTTTTTGGTACCTATGATGTACCTGGTTTGTATGTTGGGACCTATGGTGTACCTGGTTGGTATATTGGGACCTATATGACGGAATTTGTTTGTATGTTGGGACCCACCACGTACCTGGTTTGTGTGTTGGTACCTATATGACGTACCTGGTGTGTATGCTAGTATCTATATGACGGACCTGGTTTGTATGTTGGTACCTATATGACGGACCTGGTTGTATGTTTGCACCTATGACTTACTTGGTTTGTATGTTGGTACCTATATGACGCACCTGGTTTGTGTGTTGGGACATATGACGTACCTGGTTTGTGTGGTGGGACCTATGACGTACCTGGTTTGTTTATTGGCGGATCACATTCGATTTGAGCACTTTCATGAGAGAAAACTTCAACTGGTGCCCTGTCCACATTTGAGAAGCTCCCGAGGCCTGAGAATATTACATAAAATATTATTAGTGGCCAGAATGTAACTTTAAGGTTAGTTGCTTACATTGAGTTCGATAAAATACCAGGCTATTTATTTACAGAACATATTTCGTATTCTATAAGAACACACAACTTGCTATGTTAATTGCTAGTTCTTATCAAATCAACGAAAAATTTCGTCAGAGCAGAAGTGATTGAATGCGTATTTGAATTTTGATTGGTGAACAATATAGTTTAGATATTAAAATCATTTGGTACACAAATCGCACAATGCGCTTCACGTATTTACACCTCTCACTTTACATCAAAATAAAATGATTTATCAATCCCCGTCCTATGCATGGCATTTGTCACAACTATTATTTGATCTCTGTTACATAAAAACGATATCACTTACACTATGAATAGGCGGTATAATACAGAAATGCGTATAAATTTACTCACGAAACCACTGTGAAATAACGAGTTACCTCCCGTGGAACGATTATGAGGCGTACATTTTTTCTTTTCTACGATTTTCTCATGGAATGCGTGTATTTGATTGAAATAATTTCTTCACCTATTTTCAGCAAATCATAGCTACTCAATTGTTTCTTGTAATGTGAGAAATTCAATGAAACAAAAATGATTCCACTTACTTCCGAATGTAAAATACATTGTATTTCCTAAGATACTTCCGAATTTGTTCTCAGCAATGCACTGGTACGTTCCGGAATCATTTCTCTCGTTTGGGTGTTGTATCGTGACCTTTCCGTTTGTTATTGTGTACCTAGGATCTACTTCCGGTGAAATAACAGTTCGGTTGTTCTGTTCGTCGATGAAAACGATGGTGTAAGTTGGGGCGGGGTTCCCGGTGGCGACACACTCAAAGCTAGCACTAACGGCCTCTCCGACGGCCACTAAACTCGTGGGTTGAATGATCATGTCCGGACCACGAGGAGCCAACACGGGGTCAGTGAGCCCCGTACCATAAGCTAGACCAAAAGAATAATTCGATTTTAAGTCATTTCTTTATTAGAGCCATATATCTTCGTAAAAATCCCAGGCTCTGCTCTCGAAACATAACCGTGGAATAAGTCTTGAAAAAATTGAAGGTCATTTACATGAATCACGCGGCAACGTAACGGTAGAATCGGCAAACTTTGTTGTTTGATGTTACTTTAAAAGGACAGGTATCAACCTATCGATTTGAAAACTTTATATGCATGAAACCAATTAAACAACTTATCGCAAGCCTTCTTCTTTTCATGGCGTATACCGGGGTAGAAAAGCAGAATCCTTGGAATGCAAAGATCAGTCAAATATACAAACGTTAAAGAACACCAAAAAGAAGCATTGTAATAAACAGAACGGCAAAATAATGAGATAAAATACGTAATAAATGAAAAATTATGAAAAATATGTTGAAAATCGCTGATAGGAAAAATGCGATCCACGTTTCCATGCGTATGCTATACTGATCAATACATTTGCCTTTTTCAGGTAATTCGGTATTAATATGTAACAAGGAATATATCCTTTTTGTAGATCATCTATGTTTGCGTTCGGTTTGCTTTGCTTGTGCTTTACGATCGATTAACAGCTATGGTCTTTTGAAGACGGGCCAGGTTTTGGTTGTTGAGGAAACCGTAGAACCGGGAGCAAAAACTACCGACCTGCGGCGAGTACCTAGCGACCGTCCCTCGTAGACCTCGTGTGTATTACCGTAGTCTCTCTGGGTTTGTCTGCTACATAAACAGCAGTATTATTACCGTAGTCTCTTTGGGTTTGAGCTATCCGATACGCCTCGTTCATGATGATTTCACAGATGTAGGGAAGTTGTGAAGATTCTACTTCGCGTCCCCAAAGGTATCCAAGCACTTTTAACAAATAAAAAAACGGATTAATGTACTTGTGTTACTCAAACTTTCAACATAAATGTCTCCCTATAAATTATTTACACTATTGCATTTTTAACTGCAAATAACGAATGCTACTTTTTAGTGCTAGTTCTTCGTAATCTTCAAAAAGGCAAAAAGATCAGATTGCAACAGTTTAGTTAAGCTTGTTCCCACAGCTTAACAGATGCGATGAGGTTCCTTTACGTATGTAACAATAAGCTAAATAAAGGGAGGTAACCCTGCATTATAAGAGTGAGATGCAATTAAAATTATATTCGATTCTCTTTGTTTCAAGACGCGGTAACTATAAAAAAAAAAAAATCAAGTGATGCTAAATGATAGCAAATGGACAACGGACGGTTTCTTTTAGAGATAGTTAGTGATATCAAGGGGGTGAAACTTTAAGTTGTTACAAGGGCGGTAACTCTTACTTTAAAAAATGGGATGTAACTAAGGAAAGTTAGAAAGATACACTGTACAAGAGGAGGTAGCTTTTTGGTGATAACAAGTACAGTTATTTGTGGAAGACAATTGGGGAAGCTATGTATGTGTGATAACGAAACTTGTTTTACTAGCAGTTATTGAAGTAAAGACATTGGATGGTACATACAGTAACTAACTATAAGTGATGGGAATGGGAAGTAGCACTGATTGCTGACAATATCAGATACGTACCCGCGTACGTGTAGACGATGTGAAGGCCCGGTCTGAACATTTCCTGGACATTAAGCCAGTACTGATCTGCTGGCTGGATTCTCGTACCGTCCCCTTTCCACTGTAGGTCTCCAGTCGCCATGTCGTAAATAATACCGCTTGTGAACCAACGATAGCTGTGGATGTGCCAAACAGAATATAAAAAATGATAATAAAATAACAAATACATCAAAATAACAAATACAATAAAAGAGACGCTCTAGACGTGATCAGCACGATATAAGTACGGATGTTCAATATATTGCTTGGGATTTTTTTTTCTCTTTATTTCCAAAGCTACTGTGATTGGGGAAAGTGTTTTGCCTTTATCCGGATTATTATCCTGTATGTAGTCACTCCCTAACGGTACAGCATGGTTCCGATTTATATACTGCACGTGCCATTAAAGATGACAAGCAGTGACGTGTTTGATCTGATTTGTTTATGCTACAGAACCCCTACGGACATTACAATCATAAAATATACTCAAGCACGCACACATATGGAGGAAAGTGTCAAAATGATTAACAAACAAAGTTATGCGCACGTCACTCCTCTGATACCTGATGTGTCTTGTCTCATGAAAGGAAATAACGGAGTCGACAGCAATGTCTAGTGCTAATAGTTGTAATACACAATAGCCGACGACCGTATCTTACATCAAGCGGAAAACATACTCGTGTATTTCCGGACACTTTTGGAAAACATTTTCCACTGTATGTTATGACGTCACATGTGTACTTACGCGCCTACGTCGTTATTTTCCAGCCAGTTGCTGATGAAGTTGTGTTCTGAGATACTGTTAACGCTGAGAAGGGAAGATCCGTCCACCTGTCGTAAGCAGAAATGTCAGGCTGACATTTGGCATTTTAACAGGTAGGTATATGTAGTCATACTACGGTAAGACCCGTATACTGTACTTATACATTAACCATACAATACACGTGTAAGGTTGTATCGCATGCTCATGTAACATGTATACTATGATTGCAGTAACATACCACCAGAAGTACTTTCAAATCTATAAATGTCTATGTAGAGTCTTCAAATTCCGGTAGTAAAATTTCACAAAGACCGCCTACATGTTCATGTATACCTAGAGTATTCTTACAATCCAAACTGGAGACACGGTGCTCAAATTATTTAAGTTTGGAAAATTTGTGAAAATTATTCGGACTTCTTTAAGCAAACTGATTTTTACATTGCTTCTTAATTTGACATCATGATTGCAGAAAAATGTAGATCAAATTAAAACATTTTTCATCCTATTGAAAACGAAAATCGTTCGAATTAAGCAAAATCATCTCGCATGTCTGCTTAGTATAATGCTTAACGCATCCCAGTTCTGGAATACAATTTGTGATACCACAGTATAAATTGCGACGTCATGGATTCACTCAATAAGATTAAGATGGTAATGTTTACTCGCTGTGTATAGCTTATTTCTTGAACAAATTATATGTCGTGCCATTCGGATGATTGGAGGTCAAACCTCATTTTGAGAAATTTCATTTTAAAAGATTACATTACGGAAATGGAATTTCGTCAAATAAACATTACATATATTTTACAACAATTATGAAACTATTTTTTTCAAAACTCTAATCACTCCCGTTGGCCCTGATAATAGCACGTATGGATGGTCTAAATGTGGGAGGGAGCTAGAGTACGCGGAGAAAGCCAATGGATCAGGCAGGTGACCTGATACCTTTTCACGTCTTATCGGGCATGCGAACCCCGACCGTCCTAGCGAAAAGTGATTGCGCTATCCACTGCGCCGCCCGATCATTTGAGAGTCTCTAGCATCCCCTAACAGAACCTATCACACACATCCGTTAACTGAACCTATCCCACACATCCGTTAACTGAACCTACCCCACACATCTGTTAACTGAACCTATCCCACACATCCGTTAACTGTATCTACCCCACACATCCCCTAACAGAACCTATCCCACACATCCGTTAACTGCACCTACCCCACACATCCCCTAACAGAACCTAGCCCACACATCCGTTAACTGAACCTACCCAAAACATCCGTTAACTGAACCTACCCCACACATCCCCTAACAGAACCTATCCCACACATCCGTTAACTGAACCTACCCCACACATCAGTTAACTGAACCTATCCCACACATCCGCTAACTGTACCTACCCCACACATCCCCTAACAGAACCTATCCCACACATCAGTTAACTGAACCTACCCCACACATCCGCTAACTGTACCTACCCCACACATCCCCTAACAGAACCTATCCCACACATCAGTTAACTGAACCTACCCCACACATCCGCTAACTGTACCTACCCCACACATCCCCTAACATAACCTATCCCACACATCCGTTAACTTAACCTATCCCACACATCCGTTAACTGAACCTATCCCACACATCCGTTAACTGTACCTACCCCACACATCCCCTAACATAACCTATCCCACACATCCGTTAACTGAACCTACCCCAAACATCCGTTAACTGAACCCATCCCACACATCCGATAACTGAACCTATCCCACACATCACCTAACAGAACCTATCCCACACATCCGTTAACTGAACCTTCCCCACACATCTGTTAACTGAACCTACCCCACAAATCCGTTAACTGAACCTACCCCGCACATCCCCTAACATAACCTATCCCACACATCCGTTAACTGAACCTTCCCCACACATCTGTTAACTGAACCTACCCCACACATCCGTTAACTGAACCTACCCCAAACATCCGTTAACTGAACCTATCCCACACATCCGATAACTGAACCTATCCCACACATCCCCTAACAGAACCTATCCCACACATCCGCTAACTGAACCTATCCTGAACCTATCCCACACATCCTTTAACCGAACCTACGCCACACATCCGTTAACTGAACCTACCCCTCACATAGGTTAACTGAACTTACCCCACACATGCTTTAACTGAACCTATCCCACACATCCTTTAACTGAACCTACGCCACACATCCGTTAACTGAACCTATCCCAAACATCCGTTAACTGAACCTACCCCACACATCTGTTAACTGAAACTACCCTACACATTCATTAACTGAACATATCCCACACTTGCGTTTACTGAACCTATCCCAAACATCCGTTTACTGAACCTATCTCACACATCCGTTAACTGAACCTACCGAACACATCCGCTTACTGAACCTATCCCAAACATCCGTTTACTGAACCTATC